ACAACATAGTAGCAAAATTTGTCTTAATGTAATTATTTTTAGAATTCTATAGTCCATGCAAAGGCTTGTAACTTCCAGGGAAAGAGGTGTCTGGTAAATTGTGGTTAATTTGGATCGATTTCAGCCTCCTACTCATCTGCCCCACTTCCAGATGCATGGAAGGCAGCTGCACCAGTGTTCCTAGAGTTTTTGCAGGAGCCAGAATGGTAAGCAATAATTTGTCCTCCAAATACCAGGCATCTTGTTCTGGTCACCAATTGCTGCTTCTAAACATGGAAGTGCAGACACAGAGCAGGCAATCACTGTTGCAACTTCCACCACTATCATTTCATGTTCCTCCAAGGAAGCAACTTTCATGGGACTTAAAGAAACGATGGCTATTTTATTCCCCTTATAAAGTTGGGGAATAAAATTCTACTATTTAATGGAAATGCAATAGGTAAGAGAGAACCTGAACGGGTCTGAAAAGCACGAGGAATTTTCAAGAGCATGGCTCAGAGTCCCATGGAGCTATACCTACTGCCTCACCACACCTCCCTGAACTCACACCTGTGGCCTCATGGAAATACTGAGAGTATACAGAAGGGTGTGCATGGTATGCTGGCAGAGGGAATTGGGTGACCACTGAATAACAGCTGTACTAGGGAGCAGCCCTAAAACACAATGAGGACAATATCTCCAGTAGCTAGAACTTCGGGCAGTTCATCCCGGATGGTCCACTCTCGAAAGACAGTCTAAGGGTGTGAGTCTCTACCAATGGACGGTCTGACAGGTCAGGGACTTGGAAAGAACAAAATTGGAAGGTTGGTGACAAAGAGGTCTAAGAGAGAAGTAGGTGGACTCTCAGAATGGGTGCAACGTGTAAAGGCAGTTGTATCCTACGTAAATGCTCCCCAGAGGACATCCACAGCGAAGAAGACTCTCACTAACCTGATGGAAGTAAGAGGACTCATCCTGAGGACATGGAATATAATCCACTGGAGGCTTGGGGTTCAGCTAAACTACATCCTGTGAGGTTGAGGTGGGTGTTATCCTATAGACACATTACTAGCATATGCTTTAAACCAACCAAGGGTGGGAGGAGGGAGTCGCCCCTTAAATTATGCTGAATAATCCACCAATGGAATTCTTCATAACTGTCTCCCCAATCTTGAGTTCTGAGAATTTGAAAGTGCTAGTTCACCAGGGAACATAGTCATGTTCTCACTGAATTGAAAACAAGACTGGGACTCCTTATACAAGTGACCAATAGGCAGAAAAGAAAGGGGGTTACTTTATGAGCCTAAATTACTGATCCTAATTACCGAGGGAAAATAGTCACTGCTACACAAATGATGCAAAGAGGCTATCAAAACCCGAGAATTCATGAGGCACCTCTTATTACTCCCATTCCAGTAATAATTATTGTCTTAGGTTCAGTTACCCAGTAGTGCCTGAAACACATGCTTTATTGAGGGAGGAGCCTTCAAGAAAACCCTATGAGGGAAGGAAATAAGGAAGGAGCAGGGCTGAGCATGGATGTGGTCTCAGACAAATCTGCTTTAGCACATAAACTATGCCATGGATTTGCCCCCTTGAGACAAGGGCACTAACTTTTTGTACCTAATCACCCCTTTGGGAGTTATTAACTTTTAAATGAAGCTGAAGGCATTTCTCTAGAGAAGGAGGCAGCTCGAGGGGTTAGCCGCCAGTACTCACAGCAGCTATTAGAATCTATGGGCGACTATTGCAACCCATGAAGAACATGTCCTCTTCTGAAAGGAACCAGTAGAAATAGATTGAAATGGTAGATATGGGGATAATTGATAGTACAAATTCTCCGAAGAAGCCAACTCTATGGGATTCTTAGCACAGGTGAAGATTTTGGCCTTGAATAAATAGGACTCTTTATCCTATGAAACTAGAGAGAATGAAATTTGTGTAAAATTAGAGGTTTTAAAAAATTTGTAAACAAAGGGTCAAGAAATTAAAAATTCACCTAAATTTTATTGATAGCCTATTATTAATGCACTAAGGACCCAGTGCACAAATCCGTGCACCTTGAAAGGAACTGTGGGCCGTGAGGCTGTGGTGGGCATAGGGTGGGTCTCTGCGCCTCTGCCTGGCTCCTCCTGTTGCAGCCCCCAGTCCTCTTTCTGCCAGTAACCCCACTCCTGCTGACAACACTCCCACATGCTGACGGTGCTAGCCCTGCTCACACCCACTGATAGCATGGAGCGATTAGGGCCAGTGCCAGCAGCGGGTGTGAGTAGCGACCACTGCCCTGATTGCCCCTCAGAAGCAGGGGGAGGTGAAGAATCCCTCAGGGGCAATCAGACAGGGCAGCCACTGCTCTCACCTACATTTTATCAGGTAAAAGTTACCCTGATCTGTTTTCATTTTTTTGCCTTCTTTTCTACAAAGCCAAATATAATTTTTATCACAGCTTTCCTCATCTACAAAAGGATCGAAAAAAATTAGGCTGTTCCTGTGCATAATCAGAGGACATTAAACAGCACCTTTGGAACCATAATGCTTCTGCGCTACGTCTCAGAATGACGGAGGTAAATGTAGTGAGTCCTACCAGAAGATACCATTGAGAATGGCAATAAAACAAAATCAAATTTTAAAAAGTTCTGAGGAAAGGGGAAGATACTTAACATTACCATTTTTGGAATGGGGTAATAAGCAAAATAACCTAATAAAAAGAGCTCAGGCATTGAGTTGATATCATTGGCACTTTATGTTGTGTTCCTGTGTGCCTGCCCTATTGTCACTTATCTCTAAAACCAGTCCACAAACATAAATAATCCACCACTAATTTTTAAGATTGTTTACTTATAAAGTATTATAATTAGTATGTATTATACTTTATGTATAACCATAAGTAGTAATGCTATGTATTTATATTTACTTAGAATATTTATTTTCATGTTTATATAAATACCTAGTAATTTCTTTAACACACACACACACACACACACACACACAAAAAAAAAATCAGTTTTGAATCCTTAATCCCTTGGTTTTAAATGGAAGTTATTGGTGGTAATAGAATTTGCCAAAAATAAAATTTTCTACACAACTTGGATGGAAAAATCTAATGCACTAATCAGAACCCACATTTTGGTACATTCTTTTTCTTGAGCAACTATTGCTTCCTAAGGCCTTCAGTGCGGCCTCCCTACCAAGAGAACATAAATTAGTTCCTTTTCCTTCCCTCCCATGCTAAACTAACCTGAAGTTTCTGTGACAATGACACTGATTGTGGTTGGAGAAAATACTTAAAATAGCATGTTTTTCTGTAGGTCATCCGTCCATAACATTGTAAAAATCCTTTGCTGGGACAGGAGTAATCGCCTCTGCAGCTCCCACAGACCAATTACTCCAACTGCTCAATAAGTGTCTGCTGGGAAAACCAGCGAATAAAGGCGCAGCCATAAAACACAGACAGCTGAAGCCGGTTTGGCTCAGTGGATAGAGTGTCCGCCTGCGGACTGAAAGGTCCCGCGTTCAATTCCAATCAAGGGCATGTACCTTGGTTGCAGGCACATCCCCAGTAGGGGGTGTGCAAGAGGCAGCTGATCGATGTTTCTGACTATCCCTCTCTCTTCCTCTCTGTAAAAAAAATCAATAAAATATATTAAAGAAAGAAATACAGACGCACTTGGAAAAGATAAAAGGCACCAGACCAAACGCAAGGAGGCATCACACTCCCCTCTGCACCGAGCACCGTACCCCAGATTTTACTCCTAATCTCCTCCCGGGCCGTGACCCAGAGGCCATCCCTTTACCCGGCCGGGACCACGGGCATCCTTCCCACCGGCTCCCAGACCGCCCTCGGGTTTTCCTCTCAAACTTCTCCCCAGCCTGGTCCCTGGGACCAAGAGGCGCGGGCTCTCGAATCAGTTTTGAATCCTTAATCCTCTGAAATCGCCCGCCACCCGGGACAGCCCGTCTCCGCGCGCCGCTTCCGAAACCAGCCCGCGCCGAGCCGTCAGCACCGGGAAGCGCAGCCTACCGACCGCGGGCTCCCGCGCATGCTCCCTGGCTTGACCAGGTTCCCGGTGAAATCCTCCAGAGAATCCACTTCTCCAGGTTTTGGAGGTGACCTGGGAGACTCCCACAAAACACTAGCTCCGCGGAGGAGGAAGCGGCCCGCGGTCACTGAGAGCCGACCGGAAGCAGGCTGCCCACAAAACCCGGAAAACCCTTCCCGATCCACTGCCGGCGCCTGTGCGACCGGACATGCGCAGTAAGCTCCCCGGCGGCGGCGGCAGCCGCCACGGCGTTGGCTGTGTCTGCGGAGCCGGAAGGTTCGGTCGCTGGAGGCCGCCGGCCCGACCCCCTCCGGGGCCATGTCGGCCCAGGGCGACTGCGAGTTCCTGGTGCAGCGCGCCCGGGAGCTGGTGCAGCAGGACCTGTGGGCGGCCAAGGCGTGGCTGATCACGGCCCGCAGCCTCTACCCCGCCGACTTCAACATCCAGGTGAGCGCGGCCCTGCGCTCCGCCTCCGGGGAGCGGGGAGGACCGGGATGGGCCGCCTCCTGCCCGTCCTGCCCTCCGTTCTCCCCCTTCTCTCTCCCTCCTCCCCGCCCCGTTCCCTCACCTTCCACAAGCCCGCTCCCCGCGAGGCCGGCGCCGGGGGTCCCCCAAACCCCCTGAGGCCGGTCCGGGAGGAGGTGTGGCCCCGCGTGTGGGCTGCTACACCCAGGCCCCGAGGAAGGGCTTTCGGTCGTTCATTTATCATGATGGCAGCACCTTCTACTTTATATATATATATATATATATATATATATATATATATATATATATATATATATATATATATATATATATATATATATATATAATTGATTTTTTACAGAGAGGAAGGGAGAGGGGTAAAGAGCTAGAAACATCGATGAGAGAGAATCATCGACCAGCTGTCTCCTGCACACCCCCTACTGGGGATGTGCAGGCCACCAAGGTACATGCCCTTGATCGGAATCGAACCTGGGACCCCTTGGTCCACAGGCCGAGGCTCTATCCACTGAGCCAAACCGGTTTCAGCGCCTTTTACTTTATTTTTTTTTTTTAAAGAAATAACCCTTATTTATTTATTTATTTATTTATTTTAATATATTTTGTTAGTTTTTACAGAGAGGAAGGGAGAAGGATAGTTAGAAACATCGATGAGAGAGAAACATCGATCTGCTGCCTCCTGCACACCTCCCTGGAGATGTGCCTGCAACCAAGGAACATGCCCTTGACCGGAATCGAACCTGGGACCTTTCAGTCCGCAGACCGACGCTCTATCCACTGAGCCAAACCGGTTCCTGCTTATTTTTATATATATATATATATATATATATATATATATATATATATATATATATATACACACACACACACATACATATATATATATATATATATATATATATATATATATATATATTTTTTTTTTTTCCCCCCCCACACACAGAGAGGAAGGGAGAGGGGTAAAGAGCTAGAAACATCGATGAGAGTCATCGATCATCTGCCTCCTGCACATCTCCCTGAAGATGTGCCTGCAACCAATGTACATGCCCTTGACCGGCATCGAACCGGGGACCTCTCAGTCTGCAGGCCGACGCTCTACCACTGAGCCAAGCCGGTTTCGGCGCCTTCTACTTTTAAAACATGATTCCGCTAATCCCAGGACCCAGCTAATCCTGGGACCCAGCCCCGTGGCCCCGGTGATGCTGGACTCTCGGTCACCCAGTCCCCCGGCCCCGGGCGCTGCGGGCGGGGGTCTGGCGGTGACCAGCGGGGCTGTTCTGTGTTGCAGTACGAGATGTACACCATCGAGCGGAACGCCGAGCGGACGGCCACCGCGGGCAGGCTGCTGTACGACATGTGAGTGAGTGGGGGCCGGGGCTGGACCTTCCCGCCCGGCGCGGACCTCTCCTGCGGGTTTGTCTCCGCGAAGAAGTGGGCCTTGGGAGGAAGAACGAGCTTCACGTCCATCCACATCCCTACTTAGATGGGACCCTATTCCTTCCCTTCATGGCTGACATGCCTTCTGCAGAGAAGTCTGTTTTGTTTCTTGCTAACATTTGCTGTCCAAGAATTTCCTTTATTTTGGAAATGGTTTATTTTATTTCTTTTATTTTTGAAATACATGATGCTCTATATAAAAGTTAAAGCAATACTGAAGCAGTTCAGAATAAAAAGTGAAAGCCTCCCTATCCCCTCCTAAATTCAGCCCGAGTTAAGTTTTGTGTGTGTGTATGGTCACATACACAGAATGCATATAATCCACGTTTGGGGTTGGGGGTGGATTACAAAAGCGAGGTCATACTAAGTATTATGCAGCTTGATCTCTTCATCCACTTTGTAAAGGTAGAGATTGACTTCATTCTTCTTCATGTCTGCATAGCATTTCATAACCACTCTTTTATTGGTCATTTCCAGATTTGATGTGCAGTGTCCATAGGCAATTTTGTACTCCTATTTTGATGGTTTCTGTAGAATCCGCATGGATTTTCCTAGTCAACGTTTGCACATTCTAAATTTTGATACACTGTCAAAGTACTCTCCCAAAAAATACTATTCTAATTTTACATTTTCACTAACGGTGTATGCGTGTCCCATTTTTCCATATCTTTGCCAACAATGGATATTATCAGACTTTCTATCAGATTTCCTTTTTTGCCAGTGTGATAGGAAATGGTATTTTGCTATTTTTAAATAGTTATCTCCATTATATTATATTTCTAATCTTTTCAAATGTTCTCTTTGGCTACTTGTGTGTTTTTTTTTTTCTGTGATTTGCCTTTGCTCACTTTTTCTTTGGGTATCTTTATTTTTCTTGTTGATATTTAGAAGTATTTTACACATTATGAAATATTATTTTTTCACTTGCAAAAATCTCTAAAAAGTTTTGTGGGTACGCTCATTTTTAAAAATATGTTTTTATTGATTTTTTATTTTTTTAGAGAGGAAGGAGAGAAAGAGAGAAACATTGCTTGGTTGCCTCCAGTGTGCACCCTGCCAGGGACCGAACCCACAACCTTTTTGGTGTATGGGAAGCTCAACCACTAAGCCACACTGGCCAGGGCTGATACCCTCATTTTTTAAAATTAGTTTTTATTTTTATATCTTTATTTTGGTTTGTTTTAGTACATCTACATAGTAACTTGGAATAATGAAAACTGTGTTTTTATTCAAATGTTAATGTTCTTTCTTTTTAGATATTATATAGAATCTGACATTTTAATTTAATGCATTCATTTTAAAACTAGGTTTGTGAATTTCCCAGATCAGCCGGTGGTATGGAGAGAAATCAGCATTATTACATCAGCATTAAGGAACGATTCCCAGGATAAACAAACCCAATTTTTAAGAAGTAAGAATGGAGTAATTACTTACTAGTATGTAAATTACTGTTTCTGGAATACCAAGTTAAATGTAGTAATTTAACCAAAAAATGACATCTGTAATATTGGTATCCATATGTATGCTTTATTCTCGTCAACGAAGTCTGTACAAATGGTGTCACTTAGTCCCTGAAGCATTTGCTTACAATCCTGTAAGCTTCCTTAAAGGATGTGGGTTTATCCGTTAGTTAAGGAAACTGAATATATTTTTAACAGGTTTTACAGCATTCGGAAAGTATCTGTCCATTAGGCAGATCTCCACAAAACAGGAGAGAGACTTTAATAATTTATTGTCTTTCTTTAATCTTTTACTCTGTGTTGGTTGCTATAGCCAATCAAGTATTTCAAATTCTGGATAAAAAAGTAGACCGTTTAGGTCCTTTCATCTTAAACAAGTGCATGTTCTCCGTTTCAGCCAGCAACAAGCACTCTCCCACTTACTGTTGTGACCCTTCACATATATCATTCTTGTCTTCTGGATCCTTAAAAGGTTTTTCTGGTCATTCAACAAACATCTTGTGCTCAGTACTATCTGACCCAAAAGCCTTCTGGGTTGTAGGTGAAACCCAAGAACAGTGATCCTTCACATAGTATTGACTGTTCTGTATATAAAAATGCCTTACTTCCACTTTTGCTTCAGTGTTCTTTCTGGAAGGGACTTTTAAAAGTGTGTTATACTCTGTACAGGTTTATTTGAAACTCTTCCTGGTCGGGTCCAGTGTGAAATGTTACTCAAGGTTACGGAACAATGTTTCAACACATTGGAACGATCAGAAATGCTGCTGCTACTTTTGAGACGCTTCCCTGAAACAGTGGTGCAGCATGGGGTAAGATTTGATCCTTTCCTTTTCCTTAAGAGAAAATAAAATTCATCAGTGTGCATAGGAGCTATAGTGGATATTGTAAAGCAGAAATTCTGAGGAACATTAGATAAGGTTGAACTTAAATCTTTATTAGTAAAGCTAGAAGGATGTCACTATTACCAAACTATTCATTTCCAGAAGTTGTTTTATAGTGTAAGAAAACAGTCACTGAGCTTAAGTAGTTTTTTAAAAATAGTCTTATTCTAATGTTTTAAAAAATGTGTTTGAGTTTTAATGAGAGCCATAGTGTATATTCTTTTTTTTTTTTTTTTTTTTTTTTTTTTTTCTTACAGAAAGGAAGAGAGAGGGACAGAGAGTTAGAAATATTGATGAGAGTGAATCATCGGTCAGCTGCCTCTTGCACACCCCCTATTGGGGATGTGCCCACAACCAAGGTACATGCCCTTGACTGGAATTGAACCCGGGACCTTTCAGTCCGCAGGCTGACGCTCTATCCACTGAGCCAAACCAGTTTTGGCAAGTGCAGCCACTTTTGATTTGAGAATTTAGGTCAGGCCGACACTCCATCCACTGAGCCAAAGCAGCCAGGGCCATAACTCTGACTTTAAACTTTCTGTGCTGTGTAATCCTTCACATTGTCCCACCCCAACCTTGTGCATGCCGAGTAGTCGAAAGGAAGATAATGCTGACATCTTGGTGAATTTGATCAGCCAACTTTCTACAATGCTAGGGCATCAGTAATGGAAAGGTGGCTTCAGACTCCTACAGTCTGTCCAGCCTGCTTCAGGCTGTGCGACACATCTTGAGGTAGATAGTAAAGTTAGTTTCCACCTTTCTTAGGAAATCTCTACATCTTTGTTTCTTACACATTTTGCTAGCGTTTTAATATTACCATTTCAGAGGAAAATAACCCAGGCAAGGTGATCTGTGGTCAAGTAGAATTAGGGATTCCCTTCTGAGCTGTGTTGCTGGTATCTTTTTGTTTTCTAGTCTTTAATATTAGGTATTTGTTTCTCGGGAAGCTTGAATATACAAACTATGTGGTAAGTTTAAAAATACCCTATTCCCCTAGCCTGTTTTGCTTAGTGGTTAGAGCGTTGGGTCTTGGACTGAAGGGTCTCGGGTTCAATTCCTGTCAAGGGCGCGTACCTCGGTTGCAGGTTCGGCCCCTGGCCACGGTCGGGACACATGCAGGAGGCAACCAACCAATGTTTCTCACATTGATGTTTCTCTCTCTGGCTCTCCCCTTCCCTTCCACTCTCTACTACGAATCATTGGGGGGGAAATATCCTTGAGTGAGAATTAAAAACAAAAAATACAATTTCTTTGTGTAATTCTGACATGTTAAACTGTAACACATTTAAATGATTAAATGTATTTTGAAACAGGTTGGCCTTGGGGAGGCACTGCTAGAGGCCGAAACCATCGAAGAACAGGAATCTCCTGTTAACTGCTTTAGAAAATTGTTTGGTAAGAAACATTGTATTTTGTATTAATTCCTTATGCTCCATAGAATACGCAGGGTGAAGATCATTTCAGGATCAGGTCATTGGTAGAAAGCAAAGGAACTTTTCATATTTCAGCATTTACATCCTTGTTTATTTTTTCAGTCCAGAAAGCATTTTAAGCAACTTCTAAGTTTTTGTAATGTAATATTTGATATCTCCCAAAGAACATGTGTGACTGTATATTCAAGTACGCAGTGTAATAATAAACATACACCTTACCCACAATATAGAATCTGCCCGTGTTTTCTCGCCGATTTCGCCCACTGGTTTGCCTCTGCACTGCAATTTTCAAATAAATGTGCCATAAGGGTTTGTCCCCCCGTACATTTTAAGTACTACATTAAGTGAACTCTAAAATAAATTTTGTTTTTGTCTGAACTCTACGATAGACAACTAAACCATTTTTTTCTTACTTTTCCTCATCAACAGTTTGTGATGTCCTTCCTTTAATAATTAACAACCATGATGTTCGGTTGCCTGCCAATTTATTATACAAGTACTTGAACAAAGCAGCTGAATTTTATATCAATTATGTCACCAGGTCTACTCAGATAGAGAATCAGCATCAAGGTAAGTGGGAATGTACTACAATCTTGTTTAGACAGACTTTAGTAAAATTACAAAGTCCGAAATCCCTCGTCACTCTGATCATTCCTTCTGGATACATACCAGTTTGAGAGTGTTTCTAAAAGATGGTGTCTAGAAAAGAAATACTGCGGTTAAGAGATGAGACTTTTCTGGACTCAATTTTACCCCTTAACTGCAACAGTTAACTTGTTAAACTCTGTTAATACACTGAGCTTTATACATGTACTACAGCTCAAAAGTCACTTCCTACTATACCAATGGCCAGTGTAGGTCCTTGAGCAAGACACACACGAGATTCTGTGCTCTAGCTTTTTGAATAGGGAGTGAGACTCTCCCCCCCCCCCCCCATCAAGTGCCATATAAACAGTTAAGTAGTAATGTTAATTGCAGGCTATTTTTTTCCTTACGTCTCAGGTGCGCAAGAAACATCTGATTTAATGTCACCTAGCAAACGTAGCTCTCAGAAGTACATAATAGAAGGACTGACTGAAAAATCATCCCAGATTGTGGACCCTTGGGAGAGGCTGTTTAAGATTTTGAATGTTGTTGGAATGAGATGTGAATGGCAGATGGATAAAGGAAGAAGGTAAAAAATTGTTCATTTCTAGAATTACCTAACAAATCTTTGATAGCATTATCTCAGGATCCTAAGAAACAACAACACTTTTTTTCAAAGCAACTAATATATTAATACTAGAGGCCTGGTGCAAGGAATCAGCCCTCACAGCCCTGGCTGCCTCTGCTCCGGCTTTGTCTGGAAGAACAGCCAGAAGGTCATCTGGCTATTCAGTCTAATTAGCATATTAGATCTTTATTAAATAGGATATTGGTACATCTCGCTTTGGGTAAATTCTATAATATAGTATTTATGCAAAAGAAGGTAGTTTTTCATTTTATTAACAGATTCCCAACAGAAATAGTAACTCTTAAGATGATGTTGAGTTTGAAGTACTCCTTGATGTTTGGAGGAAAGAGAAGCTACTTGGCATGTCAGTGTCATGAAATATTGATCTAATCACTGCTCTAATTCAGGAGAATTTGCATCCAAATGTTTGGCAATAAAGACTAGTTTTATGTGCCTAAAGCTACATTTGGTAAATATGATAGCTCTACTGGAACATTTCTCTTGACCTTTCTGCTGACAAGCCCAGAGTAACTAAGCAAATTTTATCATTCTTGGTCTTTCAGAAGCTATGGTGATATTTTGCATAGAATGAAGGATCTCTGCAGATATATGAACAACTTTGATAATGAAGCTCATGCAAAATATAAAAACCAAGTGGTTTATTCCACTATGTTGGTCTTCTTTAAGAATGCATTCCAGTATGTCAATAGCATACAGCCATCTCTCTTCCAAGGTTTGTCTAAGAATTTTAGAGTATCCCAAAATACTGGCCTCGGTGGGGATGGTGAAGATGAAAATGCTTTACCTTAACATTGTTCTTGGATCCGGATAATTGTGGGGTGATACCAGCACTTTTCTTTTAGTTATTGTTGGTTTATGTAAGTACATCTTCATTTAAAGTTTATATATAAAAAAAAATGTAGTGGCAATATGAAATTAAATGCAGACATTGAATGCCTGTATTTTGAAAAAGCAGCAGATGTAGCAAAGTATTGAAGTAGATTTCACAAAGACTTTGCAATAGGCAAAGACTTACACACACACTAGTATAGTGCTTGCTTCGGCAGCACATAGATTAAAATTGGAATGGTAAGAGGAAAGAAAGGGAGGGGAGGGGAGGGGAGGGCAGGGGGAGGGGAGGGGAGGGGAGGGGGAGGGGAAGGGAAGGGAAGGTAAGGGGAAGGGAAGGGAGGAAGAAAAAAATATATATATTCATATAAATTCTGGAAAATAAGAAAAATACAAGTGCCTTGACCCATTTGCTCAATGGATAGAGCATCCGCCTGCCTGCGGACTGAGGATCCCAGGTTTGATTCCAGTCAAGGGCATGTACCTTGGTTGTGGGCACATCCCCAGTAGGGAGGATGCTTCTAATTCTCTATCCCTCTCCCTTCCTCTCTGTAACAAAACAAACCAAAAAAAAAAAAAAAAAAAAATCAATGAAATATTTTTTTTCTAAAGAAAAAAATACGACTGTGAAATCTCCCATAATTCTTCCAGTATAACACAGCTCTCATTTTTGTGTATTGCCTTATAGTCTTTTCATATATTAGATTTGTTTGGAATTTGTAACCATCATGTATGTGTAATTTTGTAGGCTTACTTTTTTTGGTAATTTTATGATTCATGATTATGGTAAAAAAATTTGTAAAAACATAAGAGCAAATACAAAAAAGGAACTTTTTTTGTAATCTGCTACTGATGGGAGAATCTCTGTTAACATTGGTGTATTCCTGTACACTTTTTCTATACATATATATTTGTTTGTTTTCCTAATTGGGGTCACACTCAACAATTTTTTAATGATCTATATTTTACATAAAAGTTGAGTAAACTTTCATCTGATATTAAGTGTTCTTTTCCTTGCTACATTTTTAATTGTTGATGTTTTACCCCACCCATAGGTCCTAATGCCCCAAGCCAAGTTCCACTGGTTCTTCTGGAGGATGTATCAAATGTGTATGGTGATATAGAAATTGATCGTAATAAACACATACATAAAAAGAGGAAACTGGCAGAAGGAAGAGAAAAACCCATGGTAATCCTTTTCAGTGATTATTATTAAATTATATGCTTATGATTGTTTTTAGAAATTAATCTTTGTAAAATATGGCTTTGGAACTAAATTGATAAAGCTTAGTTCTTTAGTTATAACATGTAATTACTGTATAAACCAAGTGGTTCTCAGCTAGAAGTAATTTTGACCCCTAGGGACACTTGACAATATCTGAGGACTTTGTTGTTGTTAATCCTCACCCAAGGTTATTTTTCCATTGCTTTTTAGAGAGACTGGAAAGGAAAGAGAGAGACAGAAACATCGGTGTGCCTGACACATCGATTGGTTGCCTCCTGCATGCGCCCCAACCAAGGCCAGGGCTCAAGCCTGCAACCAACGCTTGTGCCCTTGACCAGAATCGAATCCGAGACTCTTCAGTCTGCAGGCTGACTCACTATCTTCTTAGCCAAACTGGCCAGGGCAGAGGACATTTTTGATGGTCATGTCATAGCTGGGTGGGGAAGGGTTGCTATTAGTATGTGATGAGTAGAGACAGGGATAACTGCCAGAAATTCTACAATACGCAGGAAAACCCCCACAACAAAGAATTATCTATGTTCTTCACATTCTCTAAGCAGAGTTCAGACGATGAGGACTGTGCACCCAAAGGAAGGAATCGTCACATTGTCATCAATAAAGCAGAACTTGCTAACTCAATTGAAGTGCTAGAAAGCTTTAAGTTGGCCAGGGAGAGCTGGGAGTTGCTGTATTCCCTAGAATTCCTTGACAAGGGTAAGATATGCTTGTCCTATTAGTGTTGCTTAATTTTTTCTATATAAAACCATTGTGCTAAAAAAAAATTTCTTGATATGTCAAGTCACTTATGGCTAAATTAAGATATTTCATCAGTTATTAATATTCAAATAACCATTCACCTTTTATTATAGCTTCTGCTCTGAGTGTATATTATAGTCAGGGTTGGGAAAGGGAAAGTAGAAGGAGTGTTTTGTATCTTTTAAAGTTTCTATTGCTGCCCTTTTTTTTTTTTTTCCTGGGTTTGTTTTGTGCTTTTAATTATCCTATCCTATTGCTCTACATATTCATTAACCACATGTAACTAAGAGTACAAAAGGTAATCTATTTTCCACCTGCATTAACTCCACTGCCTGAAAAACCTCAAAATCCAAATGCTATAGAAAGCCCGTTTTCTTTGACGTATAGACATAAAAATAGGGTGTTTCATCTGATTAATATTAAACTATTAAGTATATCAGCATTTCTTACAAATGACCAGCACTTTATTTTTGCCATCCTTTGGAGTCACTGCTCGTTACTTCCTTTTAGCCAGTGGACGTTCATGCCTGTCCTGCTTCTGTCAAGTGCCTACACAGAGCCCGTGTTCATGTTTCTAAGTAAATATAGCATCATTCTGTTTCTCCTGTTGCATCTAGACTTGTGAGCATGTATGTGACTGTTCCTTTAGCTACAAATTGTCTTAAAAAGGAATAAAACACTTAATGTTGCATAGTATTTTAACTAGGGTAAAAATAAAACAAGATCTTTGGTGGGGAGGAGCAAAGTAATTGAAAACATAAATGAGGTGATGTGTGTGAAAAGCATTTGGAACCGTTCTTGGCACATCGTATGTGCTCAGTAAGTGTTGGTGCCTAATAAGAACGTGCTTGTGTATTACCAAGTATTCTGTTCTAACTTTACTGTCTAATTGAAATTCTAGACCATTGTTTTAGAAATCAGACTCTGTAATTAATGTCTATTTTTTGGTAATGTGTTTCTCTGACTGTTGTTCTCTCTTATTGGGTTATTTATTGTAGTTCTGTTCTGTGTTACATATTTCTGGTAAATTTGCTTTGAATTCTCGCTCAGAATTTACAAGAATTTGTTTGGCATGGAAGACGGATACTTGGCTTTGGTTAAGAATCTTCCTCACTGATATGATCATCTATCAGGTAGAGTCATGTGTATGTAAGCACCTGTGTCTGTACAGGATGACTGTTGCTAACCATCAGCGTGCGAGATGTGTATGTCCCTCTGTGGGCTGTTAGTCCCTGCTCTCAAGACAGGTGTTCTGTCTTCAGTGACGGAGGAATTGTGGTTCACTTTCATCTCACAGTAACTCCAAAACAGCAAGGCTGCATCTTCTGTGTTGCTTTTGGTATGTCTAGTCCAGTCCTTTGTAAAAATAAGATTTTTACTTTTCACTAAAAGATGGGTACTTCTCACTCCTTCTCTACTCTGGTGAAGAGTTTCTGCCTGGCTCTGCTGTTGCTGAGCTCCTAATGCTTGGAATGGAGAGCGCAGACCATTCACTGTTGGGATGGAGAGCTTTCAGCCTCTCGAGGAAATGGACAGGTTGCTGCTTTCACCCTTCATAAAAGGGAAGTGGTCTTTGTAGTAAAATGTTGATGGAGGAATAGGGTATTCAAACTGTACTTTATCAAAGGGCTTGTGTCATTTTATTTAGTCTTAAGAATTAAGACCAGAAAGGCCATTGCTAAGTCTCCTTATTCCTCCTTGGGTAATCGAGCAGAGGTCCCGTATTTGTAATTATTTGCTAGTTGCTTAGAGGTTGGTTGGTTGGTTGGTTGGTTTTTAATGGCAGTGTTTTTCCCCTTCTTGCTGTTTACCTTTCTAAGGGTCAATATAAAAAGGCAATAGCCAGCCTGCATCACTTAGCAGCCCTCCAGGGATCGCTTCCTCAGCCTCAGCTCGCCGGACAGGGGACCCTGGAGCACCAGAGGGCGCTCATCCAGCTGGCCACCTGCCACTTCGCTCTAGGGGAGTACAGAGTGAGTACTGACACCATGCTCACCCTCAGGGCACTCTGCTACCCTGGTCTGCTCTTTCTCCTTGAGTGGCTTTTTAATTCTGTGCATGTTTACTTTGAAACTTGGTCTTTCTGCCTAGATTTATTACCCAGTCTGCTGGGAAATCATGGTGATTTTGTTGTACTTAATTTTCCCTCTACTATAGCTTCCCTGAAATTGGGCTTCGGTGTTTTATTATTGTTCCATTTTGCTGGAAGATTATCTTTCTTCCTTTTTTTTTTTAACTTTCTTGCCTGAAATCCTTCAGGGTGGAATCAGGCCTGATGTTCTGAACAGAGAGGCCTTTACTAAGTGGGGAATGAGGACTTACATTAGCTTATCCGAACCTTAGGGTATCTCTGTGGTCGTGAACCCCTCCTTCACAGTGTTCTTTATCTTGGATCTCTCACTACCTATCGCAGTAGTTTGCACAGCTTCCATACTCAGTAAATGTTTGAATTCAGTTCATACTGTATGTCCTGTTTTCTATCTGGTGAGTTAGTAAATGTTTTAAAGGCAGGGACATACTTCTTTTGGGTTGCCACTATGCTATTTAATACATTGGTAGTTTGATTAAGTAGTGAGTTTTGTTTTGTTGGTGTGTGTTTTTTAACAACAGAGAACGAGTTATTGGTCCTTCAGAGGTGTGGTACATAGATTTCACCTTACTGTTACCTTCTCTGTATGTTGAGCAAACAGTGGTGGCCACCTGCAGGATCTGGAGGCACTGCCACAGACGTTGTGTGCACGTGTTGCCCAGTTGTGCGCAGAGAGTCAGTGTGGAGTCGGTTTGCTTTCAGTGTCAGAAACTCCACATCAGCTCCTTCTCCTTGTCTTTCAGATGACATGTGAAAAAGTCCTGGACTTGATGTGCTACATGGTGCTCCCCATTCAAGAAGGAGGCAAATCACAGGAAGAACCTTCAAAAGTAAAGCCCAAATTTAGAAAAGGTACAGTGACAAGTTTTATTTTGTAAAAATAGCTTTAGGACCCAAGGCTGGGAAATTTTTCGTAATTCGTTATAAGATAGTACTGTGAGATCTGCAGGGCTTGACAAAGTGAATAAATAGTTCATCCCTTTTTCTTGGCTGTAAGTCTGCCTTTCTTCCAGAGTTCTCTTCATTTCTTAAGTGTGTTATCTCCTCAATTCTGAACTCCTTTTCCTTCCTTTACCAATTCTAGGAAAACGTGTAGATGGTACATATCCCTCTTGAGCTCCTTTGAGCTGCACTTAAAATTGCATGTTGTTTAAACACTACATAAATTTAGCTGTAATGTTTATATAAGAAAGATTCACTGTCACTGATCTAAATTTCTACCTCAAAAGTCAGAAAAAGTTGAACATATTAATCCCAAAGAAAGTTGAAGGCAGAAAATAATAACATTATAAGCATAAGTCAAGGAAATAGAGAAAATTAATAAAGCTAACAGTTGGTTTTCTGAAAAGAACTAATAAAGTTGGTAAACCCTAACAAGGCTGATCCGGAAGAAAGTGGACACTGCCTACCACCATCAGGAATGCAAGGGGGAATGTCACCACAGAGCCTCCTAAAGTCAAGGACACTGAGAGAATAAGTTATGAACAACATTATGCCAATAAGCTCACCAATTTAGATGAAATAGAAAAATTCCTTGAAAAATACAACTGACCCAAATGGACACAAAACGAATTAGAATATCTGAATGTTCCTGTATCTATCAAAGAAATTAAGTTTGTTATCAAAAATCTCCCACAGAGAAAACTCCAGGTCCTGATGGCTTCGCTGGTGAATTCTGCTAAGCATTTAGGAAGAAATAATTCCAATCCTACCTGCACTCTTTGAGGAATAGAGGAAGAGGGAATACTTTTCAGTTCAGTTTTTAAGACCAACATAACTCATAGCAACCAAACAAGAGCATCACAAGAAAACATTAAAGGCCAGAGCTCATCCTGAACTTAGATGCCAAAATCTTTAACTAAATAGTAGCAAGACAAATAGAGCAAATATATAAGAAAGGTAATACTAGTGACTGAGTATACAGGGAATGCAAAAGTCATTTAACATTAAAAAATCAATAACTAATTCACCACATTAGCAGAAAAGAGGAAGATCATGATTGTCTTAATAGGTAGAACTTAATTATGTTTATATTTATTATTCCTGATTTTAAAAATCTTAGCAAACTTAACTATGAAATATTGAATGCTCCCCAAGATCAGCAGCAATAGAAGGATGTCTGCTCTCACCACTTCATTCAAAATAGTCTCGCCAATATAGTGGGCAAGAAGAGATGAAGGCATAAAGGTTGAAAAATACTGCCTTTATTTACCGCTACATATTTGGCTACATAGAAAAGCCTAAGAAATCTCCAAATACAATACCATCAAAAAACATAGCATACATAGGGATAAATTTAGTGAAATGTCAAAATCTTGTTGGTAGCCCTGGCCAATAATGGATCAGTTCATTGGAGTGTCATCCTGTACACTGAAAGGTGATGGGTTTGATTTCGTTCAGGCACATACCCGGGTTACAGGTTCAGTTTTCTTTTCGGGTGCATCCAAGAGGCAACCAGTTGGTGTTTCTCTGTGTCTGTCTGTCTGTCTCTCCTTCTTCCTCTCCCTTCCTTCTTTCCCCTCTCCAAGATCCACTTTTAAAAAAAATCATGTTTGCAGATAGAAGACTCAGTATGGTTAAGGTACCAATTCTCCCCAATATATCTATAGATTCAGCAAGTTTAGGGAAGAAGATTGATAAATGAAATTCAGAGACTATTCAAAAACCAATTTCACCTCCACTAAACATAAGTGTGGTTTAACTATTTATGAAATCATGTGATTGTTGCTTATCCTTTTTTTTTTTTTTTTTAAAGTATCTTAAACATTTGCTTTTCAAAGCTGTTTTCTTTTGATAATAACAAGCATATTGTGGGCTTTTGTTAGGTTCGGACCTGAAGCTTCTGCCTTGTACGAGCAAGGCTATTATGCCGTACTGCCTGCATTTGATGCTAGCTTGTTTTAAGGTAAGCTTAAAGTGGTGGGACAGTTCATTTTGTGTGAAAGAAATTTAACTTGGAATATTGTTTGGATGATTCAGAATGACTTCAGAACTCTGAGATCAAATGTTAGTTTAGTCCTTTACAAATGCAGGTGGTGCAGTGAGGCAAGTGCGTGGGCTAGGAGCGAACAGACAGTTATTGAACACAGACTGCGCTGGGCCAAGACGAGGAGGAAGTGATCGCCATCCTTCAGAAGTTTGCAAATGATAATGGAACAAATATGCGAATAACCTTGCTTGTAGCCTGTTCAGTAAATATTTATGAATAGCTCTACAATTCAGAATGTATTAGTTACAGAAGAAGGGATTGTAAATGTTGGGTTCCTAGAGGAGAGTGAGTATAATATCATAAAGGTACAGTGGGTGGAAGCGCTTCGGGCATAAGGATGAACACAAGCAAAGGCCCCGCAGAGCTGGGGAAGGCTAAGGACCT